GACTCCAGGATCATGACCTGAGCCAAAGGCAGTCGCTTAACCAACTGAGCCACCCAGGTGCCCCCAGACATTCATTTTAAAGCTGAGGTGCCCAAGGTTTCATCGACACACACTTCCTGAGGATCCTATCCCAATTTATGACTTTCAATACCATCTACCCTCTGATGACTTGCAAACATTGATCTCCAGCCCATGCCTCTCTCCTGAACCCCAGGCTGGTTGCCTGGTTAACCATTAACCAGTTGTCTGGTTAACAACTCCACCCGGATGTTTCTAGACATCTCAAACTCCTCTTGTCCAAAATGGGACACCTGGTTTTCCTCCCCAGACGTGCTCCCCCTGTTTGGGTTGAAGACAGCTCCATCCTTCTAGTGGTGCAGACCAACCCTCTCCGTCACACCCACGTTCAATCCAATAGGAGTTTCTGTGTTCACAATAATCTTCACAATGCGGCCACTTCCCACCTCTGTAAATGCCACCTGCCCTAAGCCAGTGACCTCTTTTTTCTGAAGGCTGCAGTAGCCTGCTAGCTAGCTGGTCTCTGTTTCCTTCTTCACCTCTTCCTCTTTTTACTTTAAACAACTTTAGCAGTTAGTAGTAACAGAAACAACCGTATCACAGAATATTCTATATTCCAATTTTGGTTTTAGAGAAAAAAAATAGCTTTTTTAAAAGAAAGTTAGAAGTGTTTCGGCAAAGTTCCTACGAGGTTATGAGTGTGTGTGTCATACTAGCTGCTGCCTCTTGGAAGAGAAGGGGGTCACAGTGCTTGCGGAGAAAGCAGCGTTCATGTTTGCACGAACACTTCTCCTTTATTGGCTTTTGCTTTTGTGCATTTCAAATGGTTTTGCTTGCTCCGTTGTTCTCTCTCTCCCTTTTTTAAAAAATTCTTTTTTGTTTTGCAGCTCAGGTTCTAGATGCTGGTTGGGAGCTTGTGACATCATTTCTGTCTCAGCTAAGGTCTCATCAATAATGCCACCTCCTGGGGCACCGGGGTGGCTCAGTCAGTTAAGCGCCTGACTCTTGATTTCAGCTCAGGTCATGATCTCAGGGTCGTGGGATCAAGCCCCTCGTTGTTAGTCTCTGTGCTCTGTGGGGAGTCTGCTTCTTTCCCTCTCTCTCTCCCTCTGCCCCCACACCTCCCAGCACTCTCTCTCCCTCTCAAGTAAAAAATCTTAAAAAAAACCAAACTAACTAATGCCACCTCCTTCCCAGCTCTGGCCTTAACCATCTGACTACCTTCTCTCTCACTTCTCCCCTCTGGGTCTCTAACACTTCAGCCAACTTGAATCACTCCTTGTTCCCCTCATATGTGCCATGTTTTCTTCCCTATGGGACAAGATCTGTCCAGAACATTTTCACCACCTTTATACCCATTTCTTCCAACTCCACAGAACCGAATAATAATCATCATCGTAGACACTTGGTGAGCACTCACTACGTGCCAGGCACTGCACTGAGTACGTACAGGCCTTATACCATTGAATCTCACACTGTGTAAGGGACACACTGTTATTATATTATCCCTGTCATCCTGAGGAGGTGTGCTCTGCCTGGACCCCCTCAGATCCCTTTCCAGCTCTGCGTGCTTGCCCTCCTACCCAGCATCTGCAGACTTGTCTGAAACAGCTCGCCCTGCAACTTTCTGAAGATTGCCTCTTGCCAGCAGGTGAAGGGAGTCCAAAGGGTCTGGGAGCTTGGGGTGTCCTCCTTCCCCCAGTGACTAATGATAGAGGGACTGGTGTGGAAATACCAGCCTCCCCTCCCTCCCCCCCCAATTCCTTTGCCTCTGGGCAAGAGACACTAGAAAGGGTGATCCCGGCTCTAGGGCTCTCCACAGAATCAGACTGAGTTGTCTTCCTGCCCTTCTCTATCTTGCTTCTCTACTCCCTCACCTTTCCTCCTGGAAACACTTCTCTGATAAATCACCTCCTCCTGAATCTTTGGTTCATGATCTGGGTCTGGGGGAACTTGACCTAAGACTCTAGCCTGGCTAACACAAGATCAGTTCACATTCAAACCCAAGCAGTCAGATCTAACTCCAGGCGGATTTGAGACTCCTAATCCCTCCATTATGCTGCCTGTCATGTGGGTGTGATGATTCTGTTTCAGTGTCTTGTTCCTAGCATTCCACTGAAAAGTTATCAGAAGATGTTGGAGCAGTATCTTTTTTTTTTAAAATGATTTTATTTATTTAACTGAGAGAGAGAGAGAGCACAGCAGAGGGAGGGACAGAGGCAGAGGGAGAAGAAGACTCCCCACTGAGCAGGGAGCCCGATGCATGGCTCGATCCCAGGACCCCGGGATCCTAACGACTGAGCCACCCAGGCGCCCCTGTTCTACTCATTCTTATTTCCCAGTAACGGGCACAGTGTCTAAAAGGTGCTCAATCTTTTGGGATGTAATTCTGTAGTACAAAAAACTAGATTTAGACATGGTTCTCAAATGCCATTTGCATAAGAAGCCGCTGGGGGTATATATATATGTTTTTTAAAGATTTTATGAGAGAGAGAGAGAGAGCACATGAGAGGGGGGAAGGTCAGAGAGAGAAGCTGAGCAGGGAGCCCGATGCGGGACTCGATCCCGGGACTCCAGGATCATGACCTGAGCCGAAGGCAGTCGCTTAACCAACTGAGCCACCCAGGCGCCCCACGGGGTGTATTTTAACAAGTGTCCCAAGTGATTCTGATGCAGGTGATTCTTGATCCATCATTAATAGTTTGAAAAGCACTAGTTTATAAGGTCCAAATACTCCATAATAACCAAGGAACATTTGTGTTATAAATGCTTATTATATAGCATCTACTTTGTGCTTGGCACCATTGTAAGAAAATTAAAAATTTAAAAATAAAAACTTATGTAATCCATATCACAATCTTATGAGATGAAGAGTGTTATTACTCCAATTTTTACAAATTAGAAAACCAAGGCAAAAACAAATGCTAAGGAACTTGCCCCATCACCTATCGCTGGTAAGGATTTGGACCAGGCATTCAGGCTCCAGAGGCTGTGCTCTTAACTGCTACCCCATACCACCCTTTCCACTGATATGTGTAAGCAAACCCACATCATTCCCAGCTTGCTTTCTGCTGAGCCCTTCCAAGGAGGCTGAAAGGAAAAGAGGACCACGTGACTGCATGAAACACACGGGAAATACTTTATTAGCTCCCAGATGGAGAATAGGGTAGAGTAAAAATATTTCAGTAGTAATCCACGGCTCTTCTCAATGAGCCCACTCGGGCACTCGTGGCCCCCCAGTCGTGGTAGCGCCTGTAGTCCCCCGGTCTCAGCAGGTACTGCCGTCCCCGATAGTTGGGCAGCTCGTAGAGGATCCAGCAGCCCTCCAGCACGTGGAAGGAGTGGATCTCACTGAAGTGGAAGCGGTCATGAAGCGAGGAGCAGTCCTCCGTGATCTCTACCATCTGGCCTCTGTAGTCCTCTAGCTCATAGATCCTGATCCTGTGCGAGCTGGTCTGTGGGTTTGGCAATCAGCAGACGAGGAAAAGTCAAAAACCTAGCCCTTCGCAACCAGCCACACAGCCCACAGGGGGATTGGGCATCTCTTTATCTTTTCTATATCAGAGGTGACCAAATTAAAGGAGACTACCAATACCATGGCTGCTGTGTACAGTTGGGTAGGTTGTATACTGCAAAACTAAACAAAACAAAACAAAACAAAACCCACCATTCACATAGACCATGATATGGATGAATATGTGAATGGTGCTCCCTAGGGTTTTTTGGGAGGGCACAACCTTTATGAAGCATACACACTGGATCCATTTACTACCATTCTTAAGTAACAATTTGCATATAATTGTTTTGCTCTATCCTTCATAGACTTTTGGTGGTCCGGGGTTCTCCTTGGATGATATAAAAATAATTAGATATTAAAATAAAAAGACAAACATATCCCTAGCAAAAGGTGTTATTTTGAATCTTGATAGCATTAGAAGAGGCGAGGGAGAAAGGAAGTCAGATTGCTTTCCGGAAAGCGAGGCACAGATGCTCTGGGGCGGTTCCTTAGTCTCTTCTGCTTTAAGCCCTGCTACTCTAACATCCTGGAAAGCAAGAGCCATCACAGAGATGAGGCCTCTGTTCTCAGCTCTAACGTATGCGCAAAACAGTTTTAGGTCATTAATAAAAAGGGAAGCTCAAGATCATGAAGGAGGCCTGCGCAGGACCAAGGGAGTATACAACCTTTAGAAAAACGGAAAGTTAGGCTGTTTGTCCTGAGCAAATCCTGCCTGTCTTTTCCTTGAGCGCTTGCTCTTCTTTGATCTGCCTTCCCAGAGGGTGCTGAGTGTCTCAATGTCTTCCTGCTCCCACCACTGAACGCTCTTTAGAAGTTCTCACAAGCAGTCGTCCTGCAGTATGAAACACTGCTAATAAGGTATCTCCCATGGTTGGGAAAGGACCCACGTGTACAATTTGGCCTTCACAGCAGGCCGGCACACATGGAGCAACCATTCTAGCCTTTTCTTCTTTTACGAGAAACTAATGGACTGGAGCTTTAAGTCTGTGATTAGAAAAGTCCGGACAGGGAAGGAGAAGCCCGGATTCTCAGGCTCCTCGTGCTCATCTGGGTCCATCAAGGCATTACACCCCCTGAGGGGGTTTCACACTTCGCAGAAGTGGTACATTTTCCAGGGGACTGTGTCATAGATTAGAGAATCCCCAATTGTGGGATTTCAGGCTGCTGGGGCTTGATTTGGGGAACAGTGGGTTCTGCAGAAGCTGCCAGAATCACCTTGTTGGTTACTTGTTCTGACTGAACAAAAACCGGAACTTGATGTTCATCATCATAATAGTTAATATTCAGGGGAAGTGGTAGCTCGCCTTGTGCTAGGTACCCTCCTTTCATCCTTATTCCAACCCTATGAATTAGCTACTTTTATTGGCCCCATTTTACAGATGAAGAGAGAGAGAAATAGCCCAAGGAACTAGCCCCAGGCCACCTGATGAACCGGTATCAACACGCTGCTCCTTCCTCACCTGGGCCATGGACCCCGGGAATTACTGCATTTCTTTTCCCCAGTAGCGGTGAGTTGAATTTTAGCAAAGCAAAATAAACTTTTAAATTAAAAGCATTGCACCACATTTTCAGTGTTAGAAAACCCTAGAGATATTCACAAAGGAAAGGAGAACATAGTTAGAGCCAGCAACAGAAGGCGGCCACCCCGTAGTCTGAATGCCACATCTGGAGCGCCCGGGTGGCGGGAGGGCCCAGCAGGAGCCGGGGAGCCAGACTCACGTGGGGGATGAGGCGGCAGGAGCGGACCGAGTCGCTGAGGCCCAGCCACTGCTGGTAGTCGGGGTAGTCCCCGCGCCGCAGGAAGTACTGGCTGCCCGCATAGTTGGGCTGCTCATACAGCATCCAGCAGCCGCTGTCCACCCGCACCGAGTTGCAGCGGCTGAAGTAGGGCTGCAGGTTCGGGTGGTCACTGCTGCACTCATAGTGGCGGCCCTGGAAACCGCGGTCCTCGTAGAAGGTGATCTGCAAGGCAAGGGAGGGAAAGGCTCAGAGGCCTGGCCCCCAGCCCCGGCGTGCGGGGCCCCCTCCCGGCCTGCGGCTGCGCTGGGCTCACCTTCCCCATGGCTGGTGGATGGAGGTCAGTGATGGGCCGCCCTGGCGCGCGCGACTATATAGCAGGAGGGTTGCTGCGTTGGCAGGAACAACACAAAAGGGGCCCGCGGGGTGAGGAGGGGATTTTCTCTCTCTCTTTTTCTATATAATTACGGCGGGGGTGGGGTGGGGGACTTATTGTATGTTTTCTCTTAGACTCTCCAGTGTTTTCGAATTGATGACCCGCGTTAAAACTGTCACTTGGTGCCTCTGGGGCCTTTAAATGAAGCCTATTTAGGAATTTGGAACTGAGCAAAAGCCCTTAACTGAGTTAATAATTGCAATGAAATATTTTAGTTTCTTTTTAAAGTTCAAGACGATCTCCTTTTGAGTAACAGAGCCGGGTAGTGACTGAGTCTGAGGTCAGAATGGACCCTAGCATGAAACGTTTCGCTTGGAGAGCATTTTTTTGGTGTGAGAATCTGGAACATGGGGAAGAACCTGCCTTCTCCATAGTACGTTTAAAGTAAGATGGGATTTCCCTGTAAGAGGAAGGACCTCTCCATGACCCTACGGGCTGACAAGCGGGTACAGCAGATATTGCTAACACTTGAGGAAGGGTGATGGGGCGTTGGCCCTTGAGGAAGCCGGGTTTAGGCACCGGCTTCCACTCTGCTCCCTGGAGACTGGGCTGGACCAGGGTCCTCTCCAGGGCCTCAGCTGGGGTGCCTGTCACTGCACAGGCGTGGAGACCCACTTTTGAAATTCATGAGGTGACTCACTGGTGGTTCCAACTCACAGGGTAACTTTCTTTTTAAGTTTTGCAAACTAAGTGCTAAGATTAGTTCTATCTGCTGATAAATACAAGTTAACATGCGAATGTAACAAATTTAAAATCCTACAATCTTCCAGAGCATCTGCCTTTTCTCCCTTTCCCAGCCCTGGGCAAGCCCTGCTTGCTCTGTAGTTAAGGCTCTGACTCCAGGACCTGGAGTCCGCCTTCCTCCCCCAAGACCCTACCTCCATCCCCAGCATTTCCTGATGCTCAGCTCTCTTTAGAGCAGAGTTTCTCAGCCTCACACTATTTTGACATTTGGGGTCAAAAAACTTCTGTTGTGGGTGGTTGTCCTGTGCATTTAAGGATGTTTAGCAGCATCCCTGGTGTCAACCACAAGATGTTAATAGCATTAGTCTCCTATTTGTGACAACCAAAAATGTTTCCAGACATTGGAAATGTTCCCTGGGGGAGCAAAATCAACACTGGTTGAAAACCACTGCTTCAGAAGAAGCAGTTCCTCAACTTGAAACAACCTGATACACTATTTCATTCTTTAGTTTGGATTACCAAACATTATGTATGGTAGTATGTTATCAGACCATGGTTTATGATATATATAAAAAAAGACACAAATGAAATGTCCAAAATAGGGCATTAATTAGGTAACTTATAGGACATCTGTTTGATGGGATATTATGCAGCTACCAAAAATCATGTTTGCAAAGAATTTATTTAAGTATATGGAAAATGCTCACCATATGTTAAATTTCTTTTTAAGTAAGTATATTACACACTGAGAAGTATTGCTGAAGGAAAGAAGATATAAATAAATGGAAATACATTTTATGTTTATGGGTTGGAAGACTCAATATTGTTCAGATATTAATCCTACACAAAGTGATCTACAATTCAATGCAGTCCTTATCAAAATTCTAATAATTTTTATGTAGGAATAAAAAAAAATCCCTCCTAAAATTCACGTAGAATCTCAAGGGACCCTAAATCCCCAAAACAATCTTGAAAAAGAAGAACAGAACTGGAGAACTTGAACTTTCTGATTTCAAAACATACTACAAAGCCACACGGATCAAAACAGTGTGGTACTAGCATAACAATAGACATATCGACCAATGGAAGAGAACAGAAAAACCCAGAAACAAGCCCTCACATATATGGTTAACTGATTTTTGACAAGGTTGACAGGACCATTCAATGGGAAAAAGACAGTCTTTTTAACAAATGGTACTGGGAAAAATGAATATCCACACACAAAAGAATGAAGTTAGACTCCTACCTCACACCATATACAAAAACTAACTCAAAATGGATTAAAGACCTAAAGACCTAAAACCATAAACTCTTAGAAGGAAACAGAAGGGAAAAAGTTTCATGACACTAAATTTGGCAATGATTTCTTGGATATAACACTAAAGCATAGACAATAGGTAAATTGGACTTCATCAAAATAAAAACTCTGCGACAAAGGAGACTATCAACAGAGTGAAAGGCCATGGAATGTAAGAAAATATTTGCAAATCATAAATATCTGATAAGGCATTTGTATCCAAAGTATATAAAGAACTCCTACAATCCAGCAACAAGAAGCACAAAGCAAAAAAAACCCAACCAACCAACCAACCAACCAACCAACCAAACAAACAAACAAAAACAAACCCAATTTTTAATACAAGGATGGGAATAGACATTTTTCCAAGGAAGATAAACAAATGGGCAATAGTCATATAAAAAGATGCTTAACATCACTAATCACTGGAGAAATGCAATCAAAATTACAATGAGATACTACTTCATCCCTGTAAGGATGGCTATTATAAAACACAAAAATAAAATAGAAAATAACAAGTGTTAGGGAAGATGTAGAAAAATTAGAAATGTTGTGCATTGCTGGTGGGAACGTGAAATGTTGCAGCCACTGTGGAAGACTGGGAGTTCTTCAAAAAGTGAAACATCGAATTACCAGATGATCCAGCAATTTCCCTTCTATGCATATACCCAATATAATTGAAAGCAGGGACTCAAGCAGATATTTGTACACCAGTGTTCATAGCATTATTCACAAGAGCCCAAAGATGGAAGCAACCCAAATGTGCATTGAGGGATGAATGGATGCAAAATATGTGGTAGATGCATAGAATGGAATATGATTCAGCCTTAAAAAGGAATGAAATTCTGATAAATGCCACAACATGGACCAGTCTTGAGAGCACCATGCTAAGTGAAGTGAGCCAGGCAGGATGAATACTGTATGATTCCATTTATTTGAGGTACATATAGGAGTCAGATTCGTGGAGACAGAGAGTGGAATGGTGGTTACGAGGGGCTACTGGGAGGTGGGGGATGGGGACTTAGTGATGAATGAGTGCCGAGTTTCAGTTTGGGATGATGACAAAGTTCTGGAGGTGAATGCTGCTGATGGTAGCACGGCAACGTAAATGTGCTATATGCCACCGAATTGAATACTGAAAACTGGTTATAATGGTAAATTTTATGTTATGTGTATTTTACCACAATTTAAAACATTTTCCATGAACAAAAAGAAAAGAAAACATCTATGTCAATTTTATCAATATTAACTTCTTGATTTCAATAATTCTAACGAGGCTGTATGAAAACAGTAAAATGGGGTGAATACTAGGGATTAAAAGGGAATTAAGCAGCATTTACAACAGTTTATTTTAAGGTACTTATAGTCCTCTTACTTTATAATAGGAAATAAAGCAATAATAAATATAATTAATGTCTTAAATATTTTTTTATTGGTTCCTTTCCCTCCTTGGGCTTTCTCCTTTTACTCTTTCCATTCCATTACCTTATATCACCAAAGCTTACACTCAAGAACCTTGATAACATTTCAAGGTCTTCTTTAATCCTGGTAATCTGTGCTCCAGGCACAACTGTGTTGTAGGCACAGATCGCTGGGTGCTCGTGTTCACCCAGCCTTCCTTGTATGCTGCCAGGGATACCGACCTGCTCCAGGACCATGCGGATGCTCAATATGGTGGGAGACAGACAAAACCTGGGGCCCTGATGACATTGCTGAGCTGCTGAATCAACCATCCCTAAATCCTGTGCCATCCCAATACTTCTGTCACATGAGCTAGTAGATTTCTGTATCGCTTGTCCTTTTGATGTGGAGCTTCTGCTACTTCCAGTCTAATGTTCCTGTAGCAATTCAGATTCATTTTTGGCTGAGAGATGAGGTTGAATTTTTTTTTAAGATTTTATTTATTTATTTAAGAGAGAGAGCAGCGGCAGGGGGAGGGGCAGAGGGAGAGGGAGAAGCAGGCTCCCTCACTGAGCAGGGAGCCTGATGCGGGACTCGATCCCAGGACCCTGGATCCATGACCTGAGCCGAAGGCAGATGCTTAACTGACGGAGCCACCCAGGCGCCCAAGATGAGGTTGAATTTTGATCAAGGTTTAGAGAATGAGCTGCTCACCAGAGGGAAGGTGGAGAAGAGTAATTCAAGGCATGGAAACGATGTGAGCAAAGGCAAAGAGATGTGAAAATGCTTGGTGTGCTGGGAGGACTCAGGTGGGTCAGAGCGTCGATAGGAGAGGGAGTGGATGGGTTGGGGCTAGGTTCTTGTAAGAAGAATTTTCCCTTGTGGACAGTGGAGAAATATCGAAGGTTTTTAAGCAGGGAAATGACTTGATCAGATCAGTCTTTGAACATACACACCCTCTTCCTTTCTAAAATTCTAGCAATGAGAGCACAAGACAGAACAGAAAGCAGAAGAATCAATGTAATTGAATATCGTGCCCTACTCCCCTATAGCCTTATGTGTATATTGTGCTAACACACCTGCACACACATATACTATACGTACAAGTACAAGCTTATGTACGTTTATTTAACTGTGTGGGGGGATGTGCATAGATAGAGATAGAGAGAATGAAGCTTTGGGTTATCCTATTTATTTAATTCAATTCCTGCTTGGTCTTATGCAATGACCTCATGGTAAGAATCAGTAAGCTAGTGTTGTCAGTACTTTGACAAGAATCTTTCTGATTCCACGATGGAAAATCAGTGATCTCTGAGCTGTGGTTCTAGCTTCTGATGCCACCTCCGTTATTAATTGTTTGACATTAGAATTGGACTTCAGCTTACCTTACATAAAATGAGTTATCTAAGTTATAGATGCTCTCCAGGTCTAAAATATGTTAAAAATCAAATGACTTCATTGTTCTATAGTGCCTGATTTCCTTCCTTCCTCTTTGCCTCCTTCTCTTTCTTTCTTTTTCTCCTGGTTCTTCTTCTTCTTTTTTTTTTTTTGCATTTTCCAATAGGAATTTCTTTGAATACAGTACTCAGCAATCACCTCAGAAAAAGTCACATATACTCTGTATTAGCTAGAAATGTGTGTTGAACTACAAATAACAGAACAACCAATTACAGTGGCATAAATGAATTTGGGTTTATTTTACTCCCATTACACAAATTGTGAAGGTCAAACATTGCTGGCATTGTCCTTAGTAGTGAAGGCACCATCTAATCTGTTGGGAGCCTGACTAGAACGAAAAGGTGGAGGAAGGACAAATTAGTTCTCTGCTTAAGCTGAGACATCCATCTTCTCTTGCCTTCAGATACCAGCGCTCCTGGTTCTCAGACCCTTGGACTCGGACTGAATTACACCACCAGCTTTCTTGGTTCTCCAGCTTGCAGATCATGGGACTTCTCAGACTCCATTGGTGAGGTAATACTTCTCATAAATCTCATATTATCTATATGTATCCTGTTGGTTCTGTTCTCTGGAGAGCCCTGACTGATAGACATTGGTTCAGGGGCTGGACCACCTCAAGGCTAGCATTTCTGAAACTCTGGCATTTCCAACACACTTGTCACCTCTTGGGTATAAAATGCCCGAAGAGGAGGGAATTGTGGCATCAGGGGGAGCTCCTCCCCTCCATCAGGAAAGCAAAAGTTTTTCTGGAACCATTTCTTCTCTCTTTCTCCACCAGCATTCCTCCACTTAGGTTTCCATGTCCAGGGAGTGTCATGTGACAGCCTCAGCACCAAGAGAGTCTACCAGAGATCTGTGAACTCAACTTTTACATACAGTTTAGGGCATTCGAAAACCTTCTGAAGCCCATTATGGAACCCCGCTTCAGAATCCCTGTTTTAATAACTGGGTCACTCTATCTCTGAACCTCAGCTTTGTAGAGCCTCACTCCTCAGAGAAAAACTGAAATCTAAACAGATTTTTAATAATCTGGTTTGAAGAAACATCTTGTTTAAACACCAGAGAATCAAATGAGATAATGTATTATAAAAGTGCTTCGCAAACTGTAAAGTTCTCCTTAATATGAAGGCATGTTTTTATTGTGAGAGGCGTGTTTTATTTGTTCTGGGTCACACATCTCGGTTTCCACTTGCGTTGTGTGGGTTTGTGTATGTGTGTGTGTGTGAATAATAAAGTAAGAGGAGGACAAAAGAAAAACACAAGCAAACCAATGCCAGGAGCACACAGAAAATATTTTATTAGTTTCCAGACTGAGAAATGATGAGGAACTTATTTCAATAGTAATCCGTGACTCTCCTCAAAGAGCCCACTCGGGCACTCGTGGCCCCCCAGTCACGGTAATGCCTATAGTCCCCCGGCCTCAGCAGGTACTGCTGCCCCCGATAGTTGGGCAGCTCGTAGAGGACCCAGGAGCCCTCCAGCACGTGGAGGGAGTAAAGCTCATTGAAGTGGAAGCGGTCCTGAAGCGAGGAGCAGTCCTCAGTGAACTCCATCATCTGGCCTCTGTAATCTTCCCTCTCATAGAGTCTGATCCTGTGAGAGCCAGCCTGGCCCACCCAGAGATGGAAAGAGGAGGAAAGCAAGACATGAAATGGTTGCAACACATTCATGCAGTCCAGCGCAAGCTATTTTGAAATATACGGTAAGCCTTAACTAATTTTCAATATTTAGGTATTCCCCATGTTCAAAGGCAGAGATTCAGTACCTTTTCAAGACCATGAAGCATGACAGAAAGAATGAAGAAGGAAGTTCCACTCTATATATTTAAATATCTCCCAGGATGAAATACTAAGCGTGCTCACCATACCAGGGAGAACCTCAAACTTTTAACAGCTTATTACTATTTTTGCCATTTTGAAGAGATATTTTTAATTTTTCAAGCATGTGTGTTTGAACAGTAAAGTCAGTTTATGAAATGAATGACCTTGCATTGGGTTTAAGATAAATCTCGGAAAAATAACCAAGGACTTGGATATTTCTGTTTCTGTGGAAAGCAAAGTTAAACATCTTAAGTCTCTCAGACGATAATCGATTCTTGTCTAATAATTTAGGAATAGAATGAGGAAAAATGAGAAAGAAAAATCAGTTAAGGCCCAGGACTAATTTTTCAAAAACTTTAGCGTTTTAAAACATATTTGAAATATATGTGGCACAAAATTTCTCTGTGTTTCTCTCCATTGAGAAAAAGTGCTTTTATTTGTATAGGTGGGGTAAACCAAAATATGCAAGTGGGGAGCAAAAGAGAGAGAGGTCTTAAACAAATGGACCCTTGCAAAAGTTTCTTTTTCAACTCCTATCTGCTCTGTAACTGCCATGTATTCTTTCACTTAATTATTCTTCTATGGGATGTTAGTGGTTTTTCTGCAACTCCACTGTAAGTGACTCCAGAACAGGACTTATAGCTTGTACATGCCGGCGGCAGCCAACACATTCTTAATAAATATTTGTGGATTAATGGGTACCTGGGGGAACGCTTTGCTTCTGTTTGGGGCCAACTACATGAAGCTACTCTACATAGCTTGTCTCATGTCCAAACCCTCAATCATTCGGAATGCCCACTACTCCAAATGTTTAAGTTTTGCTTGAAACTCTCCATTCTGTGTCCCCACAGGGAGCCGGACTCACGTGGGGGATGAGGCGGCAGGAGCGGACCGAGTCGCTGAGGCCCAGCCACTGCTGGTAGTCGGGGTAGTCCCCGCGCCGCAGGAAGTAC